CTCGGCCGTCAGGGTGGTCCTGGCGCAGCTCTCACACTCCTCGGGCGTGGCTGGGGGGCACACGGGGGTCACGGGGGGCACACGGGGGTCAGGGACCCCCAGCACCCCCTGTCCCACCTACCCATGGGGCCGCGGGGCCGGTGCAGGTGACAGCCCAGGTCGCCCAGGTCGTTGTTGATGGTGGTGGAGCAGTGCCGGTCGCACAGGGAGCCCCGCCGGGAATCCGTGGCCTTGGGAATGTCTGTGGGAGAGGTTGGAATAATCACATCCAGCCCCATGTCCTGCCTGGGCTCGGCATCCCAGGACAAGCAGGTGCTGCTGTGTGGGGGGTGACACCCCGGTCCCCAAACCCCACAAGGGACAGGGACACAGAGTTCCCAGGGTGGGAACCAAGGGATGTTGGGGAGGGGGGACCCCACCCGTGCCTGGGAAATGGTGTGGGGGGGAAAATCCCGCTCAGTGCCTGGTGTGAGGGTTGGGAGGGTGGATCCCACAGTGCCCGGAGTGAGGCTGGGGAGGGGAGACCCCACAGGTGCCCGGGAAAAGGGGGGGGAAATCCCACTCAGTGCCCAGAGTGATACTTGGAAGAGGGGGAAAGAAATCCCAATCCCACTCGTTGCCCGGTGTGAGGGTTGGGAAGAGGGACTTGGCAGTGCCCAGGGAAGGAGGGACCCCCTCTGGTGCCTGGAGTGATGCTGGGGAGGGGGGACCCCACAAGTGCCTGGGAAAAGGGGAGGGAAATCCCACTGGGTGCCCGGAGTGAGGCTGGGGAGGGGATCACCCATCAGGGCCCAGGAAGGGGGGACCCCACAGTGCCCGGAGTGATGCCCGGGAGAGGAGACCCCACAGGTGCCCGGAAAAAAGGGAGCAAATCCCACTGGGTGCCCGGGGTGATACTTGGGAGGGGGAACCCCACAGGTGCCCAGGACATGGCAGGTGAGAAAAATCCCAATCCCACTCAGTGCCCGGTGTGAGGGTTGGGAAGGGGGGGACCCTCTCATTTCCCTAAGAAGGGGCCCGTCCCCCTCTGGTGCCCGAGTGCTGCTCGGGAGGGGGGACCCCACAGGTGCCCGAGAAGCGGGGGGGAAATCCTACTCGGTGCCTGGAGTGAGGACTGGGAAGGGGGGGGACCCTCTCAGATCCCCAAGAAGGGGCCCG